GGCACTTCGTTTTTTTCTCTTATTTTGGCTGCAACTTGCCTCATTTTCAGTTTCACTCATCGTGAAATATGTAAGATACTTTTTCCACTTTTTCACAAAATATAGAAAACCGAAAAAACTTGACAAATATTGACAAATATTAACAACAAAAAAGTGGGGTTAATTTTCTCACCAGTGTGCTCAACACGAATTTAAAAAAGATAAGATTTACTAGATTTTTACAGCGTTGCCAAGTGTAACAGATACTTAGCTAAGGAAACCTGAAGAAGTGATGGTGCAACCAAACAATAAATTAAGGACAACTTATCTTTATGAATTCCTCTGGTAATCTTTGCTTAAACTGAAGTTGGTGCAATCGGGCATTATAGGCGTCACTGACGTCTCTGCTCGGGGCGACCCTTGACTACTATTTTATCAGCGGCAGTGTTCGGCAGCCGGTGGCGGTGAGTGACGTCACAGGAACGTACTCCGGATTATATTCTTTTTGTTCGGTTAGTCTCGAGCGCCAGTTTCCCTATCTTTTATGTGGGGGAAACTCCACGTAAACCTTACCCTTGGTTTAGTCAGTACTCGGGCAGCTACAGTGAAGAAAGTTTAATTCCAGGTGTATGTTCTATTTTCTCCATTGTAACAATACCCAAAAGTAGATTTCTGCGTGTAGTGCAAATTCCTTTCGCAAATGAACGAAATTATCAATGTATACCGCAAAGAGATAGTAAGACTTTTTACTGATCGGAATATTATCAATCTTGTATGTGTTTAAAATGAATACAATTGGAAATATATTTTACTAGATTTATTTCTATTACTAAGGCCTACAGAAATTGAAACAATCAAAAATAAAATCAGTTCTATTTATTATTATTATTAACAAATACAAAATAATCACCAACGGTTCTAAAAATAAACAAGAGCCATTTATTTATTACATCCTTACAGACGCTAATTAATAATAAATTTGATATTCTACTCGGTTTATTCGGTGCTGAAAATAAATCCAATATTAGAAATTAGGTTTATTTATTAATAAACAATCTAATACTCAAAAATCGGTAAGTGATAATATATTCGGTTTTAGTTGCGGTTGATGCTAGAAAAATGTTTAACAATGCAGAGTAGTTAATAACCGACATATATACCTGTTCCAAACGGCTCTGAAACATAAAAAAACAATACCTATGGGCTACTCTAACTCTACAAATAAATTTAGTCGGCAGTTTTTAACAAACAATGGAAATTAAGCGGAGTTGAAACCAGCGAAAGAGAAAGCGTAGCAGCACAGTACACAAATAGCATAAATAAGCAAACGGCAACCAGGAAAAGGAATATTTTGGGTTAAAGGGAAGCAAAGTCTATTCGAGACGTACGTACTGTAGTGCGATCGGTCGCAGATTTCTTCTGGAAGCCGTGTTACTCACAGCCAACTTTCTGAGTCTATCCGTCGGCACGACCAGCACTTAACATCTTCCACTGGCGGTGTTACTCACCGCCAACTAGCGGTTTCAGTTAATGTGTCCAAACAACGTTCGTCAAAACGAGGGCCATGTTATTCACAGTCAACCCGCCCGTCTGACAACCCCGTCGCCGCACTTAGAGTTCAAACTCGGCAGGACTTATAGCAATACAGGATAAGTAGAAATAGGAAAATACAACTTGCTTACTTATTCCGGATCGCTGTGCCCGACTGCTAACTCCTTCCTGGTCTCCGATGGCGGTTTCAGGTCCCCGAGGTACTCCTCAGGGTGGTGCTGGAGCTCTTTGAGTTCTGGTTGTAAACTGAGGATTTTCGTCCAGGAAACGTAGTTTTGTCGCTTCAATCCTCGCCTGACTAGCAGGAGTCGTGGTGGGATTGTGCGCGCGGTACTCGCCAGAGTAGGGCGGTTTTAATAATTACTGTTAATCAACATCCCGGGTTAAACTAATTAAAGAAAATAAATGACAAAACCCTGCATAAAAATGAAACCTAAAAGTGGTTCATTACAACGTTTAAAAATAAATAACTTTCTTTTACCTTGCTCTAGTAAGCACTATATAGATATATATGCATAATTTCAAAATAATACATACGTATATAAACACATAAAAAATCAATCATTAAACAAACGCACACAGGGTACTGTCAGATTCCGATCCTGGTGAACCGTTAGACTAAAGTAATCAAGTTACCAGAACCTGGCATCGCGCCTCGACCGAGAAAAAATTACAAATTCGTTATTCATTACCTCGAATATTGTGGAGTAGTTTACAAATAATAAACCTAGTAAGATTTGTTTTTCAGTTCGTATCTAACAGCGACGGTGAGATAGTTTTCACGTTTTCCCATTATACCTTGAATTGTGAGAAAGCAGCTTTCATCATGGAAGAATTCATGTAGACCAGGCGGGATCTGTTTCAAAACACCCATGTATGGATGTTTTATATAGTATCGCTATCTTTTGCTTTAATGTCTCTAAAATGATATAACAAAACATAATTTCACTATGCGCACGCTTCAAAACGTGTGCTACACTTATTATTAAACAAATAGTGAAAAAATGGGAAAAAAATCCATTTTTTTTTCTCTTTTTTTCGGCACAGTTCAAAAATAACATAATTATTGCAAATATAGCAAAAACAACAAAAAAAAAGTGGAAAAGTTACAATATTTTTGCGATATTTTTAAAAGTACTTATATTATAGGTAGAATCTTCATAGTAGGCCAAAAAAATCTTTGATATAATAAAACATCACTCCAATTTTCGTTAAAATCGGTCCTATAGTTTTCGAGTAATAATTTTGCAATCCAGATTTTTGAAAAAAAAACGAATTTTTGCAAATTTAACAGAGCCTAAATTAAGACTTCTAGACACTTGAAAATTTTATCACATAAAAAAAGGCACTCAAACCAGGAAAATTTAAATCCGTTAATTAGGAGAGCCGTGATAATTGTTTAAAGATATGCGTAATTTTTGCGCTTATAAACAAATAGAATAATTTTAGAAATTCATTATAATTATTGCTTTTAAAGTACTCGGTAAGACGCTTCTTTACTTTAAAAAAAAAACGTGGTGATTCGTTAATTGGTTCCAGAGTTATAGTCGATCAAAGTTGACCGGCATCTGCATACGAGGTCTGGAAGGCTGTTTTTTTTTTTAAACAAATACCTTTGTCATTCCGAGTACTTTCCGGGAGTAAATTTCTTCTAGTGGTCCGATTTTGATGTTTTTTTTTAAATCGATGTCTCGCGAGCTGAAAAGTCCGAATAGTGCATTTTCAAATGCGAATTATTGTTAATTATCGACCTATTAACATATTGATAATTACTACTTTTTAATTTGCTTTACTTATCTCGTATTTTTCTTTATTCTATTAATGAATATTACTCAAATTTATATAGTTTTTATCCGTACATTGTATTCAATTTGTTTAAACATTCAAAATTTGTTCAAACAATAATTATATAAATTTTTAAAATCAAATTATCCTATCAAAAAAAAATATTATACTACATTTTTATTGAATATAAATTATTCAGAATATTTTACACACGGATGCTGCATTAGGAAAATGTAAGTATTTTTAAAAAATATATAATAAGAACTGTATATTCTCCCGCGTTTGTGAGTACTCAGCTAATTTATATATAATTTCTTAAGAACGGAAATTGAAGTCCCGTTTCATATAACAAAGTACTACAATATTCATATAGATGTCGCTACGGGAAATACGTTTATAGAAAAATAGTACAATTATTTCATTCATTCTAATTCCGGCAAAATACACCTAAATAAAATGAGAAAATGACGGGACGTCATGTGCACGTGCACGATGATGAGTTGTCTGACCTATACGTCCATCCCACTCTCTTACCATCGCATAATTGCACGCGAAAAAAGAAGGGTAATAAAATAATAAAAACTCTAATTTGCAGTCGCCGGTTTTTTGTTCTGAAAATATTTCTATTTTCTATCCTCTACATATTATTATGTATATATTTACATAAAAGGAGGATGGCAAGTGGTTGTACAAATTTATAACATTTGCAACCAACTAAAAGTTTTACATATTTCATATTATATTCTACATTTTAGTACTTATATGGATTCGGACTAGAGCAGGTGCGATTGTAGTTATTTCTTGTGTGGATCTTTGAGATGTTATCTTTTATTATTGCGTTGTTGCTGCGAAATATTTTATTTGATTTTTTAAATGAAAGAAAAAAAACATTAACAGAGTAAGTATTACAATTTGCTAGGCATAGTTGTATTTAGTCAGTTCCTAGCGGGCAGCCGACCAGAGAACACGTGTTCTGTGAAAGTGTAGTGCAAGGAGCAAATTCTACCTGCCTTTATTAAGGCTACCTGGAAAGAATCCCTTTCTTTCCTTTTAATCACCGACCTAATCCCCGGCTTAAGCATAGACGCCGTCGGCATCTTTGTTACAGCACCTGTGNCGTGGTGCGGCAGCGGCGTTGTCTGGCGGCGGGTTGACCGTGCATAACATCGCCCTCGTTTTGACGAACGTTGCGGGGTACCTTGACTGAAACTGCTGGTTGACTGTGCATAACATCGCCGACTAAATTTGAGCATGTATGGTCGGCAAATAAAAGAAATACTTTTCATTTATTTAATGTAGTTAACAGTATCTGAATTTAACATACAAAAAAACCACCTGTGGCCTATCTTTTTCTAGAGAAATCGGAGCAGTACCTCCTGTAGCACGCCACTGGTTAATGCCGCGAGGTTAATATTACTTTAACTATACTTATTTTTTGTCAACTAATCTATTCCTACAGTTTCTGTATTTAAAGTGACATGTATGTATGTATGTATGTATGTATGTATGTATGTATGTATGTATGTATGTATGTATGTATGTATGTATGTATGTATGTATGTATAAACCGATGAAACGAGTTTTTCAGTTAGATTGATTTTAAATTTATATAATAGATGTCGCAACTCGCAACCTTTAGAAATTTTATTCTGGGCAGGATATTATCTATGGTTATTTATTTTTTATTTTATTTTATTTTATTACGAAATCGAAATACCTACCTGTACCTACCAACAGGGGATCTGAAGGCTGAAGGTATTATTTCATTAAAATTAAACATGTCTAGGAGTATATTGTTCTTAAGAGTCTATAAAGACCTTAATAAGAAAGTAAAATCAATTAATATTTTAAGATGTGCATCAGACTGGGTACCAAAGGAAAAAGAAACTCACACTGGTCAGGTTAGTATGTATATAAAAAAGGGAATTGTAATTGTGGACCCCTAGACAATGCTAAGTATAATCACCAATTCTGATCATATTGTGCACTTTCAACATAAAAGAAATATATCTATCTGTATTATTTATACCTAGAAAGAATTGACAACTGAATAAAACAGCATATGTAACAGGTTATTAACTTGTAATATAAAGTATAGTAAATTTTGTTCTTTGACTATTGTTAAATGCAGTTATTATACTTTGTCTGGTCCAATGAATTAACAAATTTTTGTAACAATATCTTCTAGAAATGGGATGAAGATGATTATCGACTAGCACGATTTGTTGATCGACCAAAACATGTTAATCCTAATTTTGCCATAAGTCTTATAGATGAAATTCCTCCAAAACCTTGTAAAGAGCGTGTCGTATGGTGTGATGGAGGAAGTGGCCCAACAGGCCATCCAAAAGTATATATTAATCTTGTAAGTCAATAGACAACAACTATTAAATAAGTTACTCTTTCTAATCTATATTTTAGGATAAACCCGGAAATCACGCTTGTGGTTACTGCGGACTGAGGTTTTATAAAGAAGATCATCATTAACTACTACAAAAATGTAGAAAATCTAGCTTATATCTATATTTAAATATTGAATAAAATTGTATAGTTCTAGTATTGTTAATTTAAAGCCACAGATGTAAACTTAGATGTATGTGTATGCATTTTGTTAGGTTACATTCATAATTGAACTCTATTATCTAATGGTACGATGTAGTTTACAAAATGATTCAAAATGCAATACCTACAAATATTTTAAGAGGTGACGGAACTTCGAAAATTAAAAATAGAGGATGAAACTTATTTAGTTATAACTTCTGAAACCCTTTGGAGTCATAAATGAGGACATGTTAAGGGTGTGCTACCATTAAATTTAGTTCATTAGTTTTACATTAGATATTCTTATTCGAAACCGGTAAAGTAAACCCTTTAACAGTAACTGATTTTAAAGGCTAGGTTTGCATAGCTGCGGAATAATGTATTGACGAGGCAGCTGATAGGATTTAAACAATACTAAGATATTTGTGTTTAAAGTCATTAAGGATCTGAAAATATCGTTGCTTTTGGAAATTTGGGACAATACACTGCAGAAATACACAGATATGTTGTTAATATTGGGTTAATGCTGGGCCAATGCCAATGTTGTTGTTAGCAGATATAGTTTAGTTTCCTTGTCAAAATTTGCCCAATTATTACAATTTTATTTTTATTATTTACGAAGAAATTTTCATGGCTACCTCGACAATGAGATATTACTGATATGCAGTTATGCAAACCCAGCTTTTAAACAACTAAAATTAGTCGTAAATGGTTCGATTTACCAATTTTGAGCAAGATTACCTATATTATATGAACTGAAAATTTTATGTAGATGATTCTTGCAGAGTTGAAAATAAAAAATTGGGGGAAGAAAGAATGAAATCTGCCTAGCATAACAAACCCCAATGGGGAACCTCTTCAATTTACAACTAAATATGATGGTAGAATTCTCTTACAAGGTCCTGAAAATTTCAACTTCATACTCCAAAGCGTTTGAAAGTTATAACCGCGCCATTATTCCATGGCTAGAAATTGGCCTCAATGATTTGGCATCGAGGGGGATTTTCCCTTTTTATCCTGCCTCATCTCGTGTAGGTCTGGACAGCCTTCGTAGGTGGACTCCATCCGTCGTCTACCCCGACCGCAAATGCGACCGGTGTAGACGCTTTGTGGGACCTCCTTTTGTCCTGGCTGGGCCCCGCCGGTTAGGGCCCTTTCTTTTGGCGCTTTTCTTGCCTCGCCGGCTCGTCTGTGTAAACCCCGGGGGTGGTGTCATGATTATGTGTACTATGGTTGGGTAGGGTAGTGCGGCTATGCAGCCTGAAATGCGCTTTGCTAAGGTGGCCCTTAGGCTAGCGCGGGAGGGGAGGGGTAAGGAGGGTATGGGGAGGTGTGTATGTGTGTGTGTGTGTGTGTGTGTGTCGTCTTCGTGTCTTGATCCTGGCGGTATCTGAAACAGAAAAGGTTAGCGGCAGGGGGGGATGTCGTTGGGGTGGTCAGCCAGGGTTAAAAAGTTGTTCCGAGCGAGCATCCGAGCTGAGCAGACGTGTTCGTGAAGAGAAATGCAGTGCAAGGAGCAAGATCTACCTGCCTTTATTAAGGTTACCTGGAAAGAATCTCTTTCTTTTCTCTTAATCACCGACCTAATCCCCGGCTTAAGCATAGAGGCCGTCGGAATCTTTGTTACAGGTACCTGTGCCGGGATTATGCTCAGATAAGTCCCACTTTAACTTATTGATCAGTTATTTGCATTACTTTAGAATACATTTCTTTAAAATTGCGATCCCCGACAAACAATATACCATACAGACAAATACACTAAAATACACGTACGCCTCCGTAAGGAGGCATCCCCACACGACTAACACGTAAACACACACACACAAAATGTCGAATTCCGAACACGAGGAGAACATATGCATATACATGGACGAGACAGCGAAAGACCCACTTCAAGGGTTTCTGCTTCACCAAAAAACATGACCACTAAAACAGTTTTATACGAACAGCTATCACAAAAACAAGAAAACGAAACGCTAAAACAACAAATACACGAACTCACAGAGCAAAACACCCGACAATACCAACAAATACTAACCATGACACAGCAAATCGTCGATTTGCAAAAAACAATTAAACTTTCGAACCAAAACACCACTAAATAACACCAAAAACTCGACAAACTCATCAACAAACAAATGACAAATAATATACCACAGACAGGCACACACATACGCACAGGGAAACGCAAAAAAACACGGCGGAATCCTCTAGCGAGGACAAAGCCCCCAGTCATAAAAAATCAGGCAAAACAAACAAAACACGACCACAAACACCAAACACGCGCCCCTCAACACCTAAACCCACAAGCGCCCTACAAAACACCCCACAAAACACACAAAAACAGACAGACAAAACCAAACAAGTCCCACCGGTAATCTTGCGAAAGCAAGAACGGTGGACGCAATTACAAAAAATACTCACGACACTTAACATTAATTACACAAAAGTCAAACTGACTAAAGCCGGTATAGCCATATACCCAAACACACCTAAATATCACAGACTATTGACAAAAACACTGACAGGAAAAGGCGAGGAATACCACACCTTCATCCTCAGCGAAGAAAAAACGCTGAGGGTGGTGATACGCGGAATACCTGCGGGTGTTTCGCCAAGTGAGGTCCAACTCGACCTCGCAAGACAAGGGTTCCCCGGTGCAATAGTACACCGCATGACGAGCAGGCAAAATAAACAGGAAATGCCCCTGGTTCTAGTTCAAACCCCACAGGGCCAGGAGGACATCCTGAAGGTAAACCGCTGCTGCTCGCTCGTGGTTCGAGTAGAGCTGCAGCGAAAGCAGGGGGTTGTCACACAGTGCCACCGGTGCCAGCGGTTCGGCCACGGCCAGACCCGGTGCACAGCTGAGCCAAAGTGCGTAAAATGTGGCGAAAACCACAGCACGCACGTATGCAAAAAGGCCAAAGACACGCCCGCCAGGTGTGTAAATTGGGCCGGGCCACACCCCGCCAGCTATAGAGGGTGACCTCTGTACCCCAAAGCTAAAAACACAAACACACAAAACACACACACACACACGACACAAAACACACACACACGACACTAAACACTACACAAACACACAGACAACAACTTCTACCCACCCCAAACACAACCCCGGGACTCACATACGCTGACATGACCAGAAAAACACAAAACACACAAAAACAAAAACACAACACCTCACCACACGCACACACAGACACGACACCCTCCCAACCGGGCGCGGCGGCCCTGATTGACGCAACAAAGCGTCTTCAGGACTTCTGCGTCCAGCTGACGACCATGGTGTCGAATATGCAAAAATTATTCGACTTCTAATGGCTCGTCGGCCCTCCCAACCCTCCTCGCTGAGAATTTCGTCCTGGAACCTTGACGGGTTCCGGGCCAAAAAAACGGAACTCGTGGACATCTTGAACCGTCTAAACATAGACGTTATGGCTGTCCAGGAGACCTACCTCAGCGAGGCATCCCGTACCTCCATCCCTGACTATGACATATACAGACATGACAGAAACCGTAACGGGGGTGGTGTTGCACTCATAGTAAAGAAGTGCATCGACCACTATCCGCTGCAGCGGCTCCAAACTCAAAACACAGAGGCCGTGGCGATAGCGGTGAGATCGCTACGGCATGGAGACGTTGCGGTGGTGTCCTGTTACCACCCACCCAGACTACCACTACTTGACAATGACTTAGACAAAATCCTTTCCTGGCCCCAGACAATTGCCATCGGGGACTTCAACGCGAAGTCCCCCATATGGCACAGCGGGACGACGACCACAAGAGGTCGCGTCCTGCTGAATTACCAAGACAGACACGACGACTTGACTATACTCGGACCGACAGAACCGACACATTACGGACCCGTAGGACGCCCCGACGTTATCGACATTGCCCTCTTAAAATCTATACCGTTAAATGCCCAAATATCCACCCAATACGAAGGGTCTTCCGCCCACAATCCAATATTTCTGGATCTGGGGCGAAGACAGAGATATGAAGGCACCTTCACGAGGAGGTTCACTGACTGGGAGCGTTTCCGAACAGTAATGCAAGGAAACATGGCGCTCCCAGTCATCAGGACCACCCATGATCTGGAGGCGGCAATCCTCTCCCATGAGATTGACATTAAAAACGCCCTGACTCAGACTACGACGGAGACTATTGTTCCCCGACTGACAAACCCCCGGGGCACCCTCCCCGATGACATAAAAAACTTAATACGTGACAGACGACGTGTGAAACGGTTTGCCACCCGCACCCGCCTCCCCCGACACAGACATGACTTAAACGTACTTTACAGACGTGTGAAGGCGGCTCTGTGTGAACTGGCCTAGGACAACTGAGCTGGGCACCTGGAGTCGCTGGATCCACAAGACAACAGCCTCGATCCGCTCGCCGTAAACTTCCTCCAATCTAAGGTAGTGTGGGGGTGGTTTACACGAACCAGGAAAAAGCCGAGGCTTTCGCCGACAGCCTGGAACTGCAGTGTAGACTGCCTCAGCTGCCCAACGAAGACGAGGAATTCGAAATAGTGACTGAGTGCGCGGCCCGACGCGTCGACAGAGAGCCAGACAATGACATAATTCACCCCGCAATTCCTGACGAACTAAGGCTGACAATACGTAGACTTAAAAACAGAAAAGCCCCCGGACCCAACAATATACATAACACGACTCTTAAACGACTACCACACAAGGGCCTCAAGGCCCTTCTAAACATAACAAACGAGACACTCAGACTAAGACACTTCCCTTCCCGCTGGAAAACAGCAAACTTAATCCTTAGCCCAAAACCCAACAAAGATCACACCATCCCATCCAACTACCGGCCCACTAGCCTGCTTTCGGCTATGAGCAAAGTGGTAGAAAAAATTATCCTAACCCGTCTAAGAACCCTCTCCCAAGAACTGCGAGTCATTTCCGACGAGCACTTCGCCTTCCGAACCAATCACTCCACTGAACTCCAAATCCTTCGCCTTACCGAGCACATCACGGCGGCCTTCAACAGGGGACAGTACCAGAGATATCCCCCTGCCCGCTAACCTTTTCTGTTTCAGAGACCGCCAGGATCAAGAAACGAAGACAACGACACACACACACACACACTCCCCATACCCTCCTTTCCCCTCCCCGCCCCTCCCGCGTTAGCCAGCGAAGCAAGAAGAGCGCCAGAAGAAAGGGCCTTGCCGGCGGGGCCCAGCCAGGACAAAAGGAGGTCCCACAAAGCGCCTACACCGGCCGCATTTGCGGTCGGGGTAGACGACAGATGGGGCCCACCTACGAAGGCTGTCCAGGCCTACACGAGATGAGGCAGGATAAAGAGGGATAATCCCCCTCGATCCCAAATCATTGAGGCCAATTTCTAGCC